CGCGCCTGGCTGGGGGGCAGAGCCACGGAGCCCGCTGCGCCCGGCCTTTCCTAGTGGCTTGAGGGAACGCTGTGCCGTGGCCCCGTCATTGTGCTACAGGACTTTTCAACGGGTGACAGTAGAGCAGCCCTGTTTGCAAAGGACCAGGGCGTTCTTACTAGAGCCATTTGTGTTATGAGAACAGTAAAGCGGGCAGCTGGAGGAGTTATTAGTTATGTAACACGTAATGCATGACTTGCCCGTGGTGAAACAGGCAAGAAAGTGGTAGGTCTGTGAATGGTTACATGTTTGAAAGGTGGGTTGATGAAGGGCTCAGTATAAGAAGCCTGTCTGCATCTTCACTGGTGTGAGGAAATTTTAGCAAACTGCACAGGCAGATGGAGAAGAGGGACTTTGAGTTCATGGAGTCCTGATGCCTGTCAGTAACATATCTTCACTTTCTGACTTTGCTGGTCTATTTTAAATAGCTGAATACGAGTAAACCTGTGGTGGGTGGACACGCTGCTGTCCTGGCAATCTCACATCCAGAATCCTCTGACACATTTTTACAGGTCTTGTATGACAGAGGACTTTGAATCACAAGTACAGCAGGTGGAGAAGCCAACTATATATGCCACTCTTTTGGAAAAAAGAAAATGATAGTTACTGTATGCTTAGTGGTCTGTGTAGAGGACTGTGCTTTTCTAAGAGATGGAGTCCCTGACAAAGTTTTCTGCATTTGGTATTTCCCTTTAATGTTCCATTCTGGATATGCTAGCAGCAGGTTTTAGTTTGTAACCTTGTGCAGAACATACACAGTCAGATTCTGTACAAACACAAGAGTTGTCAAAAGAACATGAAAATCAAGCCAAGGAGAGGAAGAGATTGAAATTATGATGGAGCACACAACACAATGAAGCTATAACAAAGCAGAAAAAATTCAGTCCTTAGACATGCTGAAAAACGATAGACTCATCAAGGATTGGAGTTTGGCAGTGGATAGAAATGTTTGCTGCCAGGATTACCCTTTTAGAGCCTTTAGAATTGGAAATGAACAGTTTTGAACAAGACAGCGATGCTTCTGATTACAAGATTGTAAATAATCTCCTGAAGTCCTTTGCAAAAAGTTTCACTTGGTTTTGTGAAAGAGTGGATCCAGTGCTACTGTCCAAAGCTCTAACAGTTTCTCATCCAGAAATAACTGATTACCTAGAGCAGTAAGGTAAGGTCCCCAATCTAACCAAAACCTTCAGGTTTGGACAGTGAAGTAAAGAACTGCACTGAATATTTCCCCTAAATCTGAGGTTTCCTCTGGCAAACAAATACTGCAATGGGATTGATAAGATTGGCTGAGTTGATGGAAATATTATATCACTAAAATTGTGAAGTAATGTGAGTTCTTTCTTTTAAGAATTTTTAGTTGTTTCAAATTAAAATTATTTAACATCAATTTAGATTCCATATACAATTAGTGTAATTTTAGAATGTCTACAGTCTCTATAATTTAATCCCCCTTTGTATAACAGTTGTCCTTTATTGAGGCTGAATTTTGGTAAACGGTTGAATAGGGAAGGAGTGAATTTGCAGGTTTTTTAGTAGGACACCAAACGTTAGAACGAGGAATAAAAGCTGATTGGGTTCACTAAGTATATTAGGACACAAGAAACACATCAGCTTCTGTCCCCTCCCATTGATTATTATGGTGAATCATCATTTTTCCAAATATGTCCAGGTTTGATTGTGTGGGAGGCAGACCTCCAGTACTCTTGAGTATGGAAGGGATCTGTAAGTGTACTCAGGGAAAGCAAGGTCTTATTATAATGGGAAGTGATTTGTATGTGATAGGAGAGTGGAAATCATAATTTCTGTACTATATTGTACTATATCGGAATCATATTTTCTGTACTATTCTTTCAGGTAACAAAAGACCACACCTGGTGGAAAGGGCACTTTATTTTAGGTATGTAAAAAATGTCTCAGAGAAAGTGGATCTATCTTCAAACTCTCTTGCTTCTTCTGACAAGTGTTGCTCCACCAACAGTCAAACGCTGTAGATGACAAATATACATAAGTTGTTTTTCCCTCAGACTTTAGGAAATCTATTTGTAGCTAAGTGACTAGGTGTTTCTGTAATTCATTTACAAGTCCATCTTATTCCACAAGAAAATCCAATTACAGTGCCTGCCTGTAAATATGTCTGCAACATTCATATCAAGGAAATGGTCTTAACAAAACCAGTTCTGAAGAGTGAGAATCTAAATACTAAAATGCTGTCATCAATTGCATTTTATCACTCTGTATTAAGGAGCATTTTGAGTCATAGACACGACAAGAAAGACGTGTCCCTAACAGTAATGGATTCTTTTGTGTGGTGTTTTGCCTACTTAATGTTAGAAAAGTAGGATCTCAATAAATTGTCCGAGATACATAACTTTAGTGTAGTTAGCTGTGCCTCTTGTAGTAGTTTTTACCCAAGTGGACACTTTTTAGGAGTCTAATGAGGTTAACTTCCTAGAGAAAAGCTCTTTGTCAGTAAGAAACAACTTCGAACTAACTTCCTTCAGCATTTTTCTTAATGCACCAATGTTTTCCAAACACTTACCTCCACCATTTCATTTCCTTTAACTTCTTGCTCATGAGAGAAGCTTTCTGATTTGCACACAAGTTTCCCATTTACCATGTTCACAGTACACTGTTGAAGCAGATTTAAAAAAAAAAAAAAAAAGGAGACTTTGAAATTCGGTTGAAATAAGTAGATGACAACATAGTCAAATGTAAAATAAATGCAGGTGATATGGAAACTTCATAATCTGCTAATTTAAACTGAAGACCACAGCATTTTAGTAAGAGTTTTAGCAAAACATTTCTGTCAGTTGAAATGGTACAAATGCATGTGTACATACTATTTTTTGCTAATGGGAACAGTACAACAAATTGCACTCATGCACTAAAACTGAAGTATAAGGATGACTAGAGATGCACTTATTCCGAAATATGTTACCTTTAGCTTTTTGCCATCCATAGTAGTAATGTCAGCCTCTTTTCCGAGTGTAAATGAGTTTGTTACAGATTGCTTGGGTGTTTTTGATGTCACAACAAAGTCATCTCCTTTTTGTTGTATTTCAATAGTAGGCTTAATATCTTTAGCGACTTTGATGAGGTCAGCTGGCAATGCTGTGAAGAAAGCAAAAAAGAACTTTTGTGTTATGAAGTAGTGTGTTGATATGAAATACCAAATAATCTCTGATGAAGGTGCAAGAGCAATGCAAACTAATACTAGAAAAAATGTCTGAGTTAAAAGACAATTCCCATTCTTGGATTCCTCATTTCTCTGTGGACGTACTGTTCCATTCCAACTTGTCTATATAGATTTTGATACAATATTCCTTAGTCTTGGGTCAGAATATTTATTGTTTCTTTCAGTAATGGCTTGCCATATGAGGACATATCTCTACAACTAATATCATGTCTGTGCCACTCTGTCTCTCTTTCCTCTTCCCAGGCAGATTGAAGATGGGGGTTATCTGTGTAGTCAAAGCTGCAACAGTGGAAGTGACCTCAAACTACCTTATCAGTGTATCTAGTATGATCTGAAAGGATCATCATTAGCAGTAAAGGTATTGGTTCAGACATCATCCTGTCTAAGACTAGGATTTTCAACTGTAACTGAGTTGTATTCTACCAACTATATCTTAAATACTTCGAAAATCCCAGTGTGAATATTTTGCCAGCATTGTCAAGAAGGGCAATCCCATTTTAATTAATGTCAGCACCTATTAGGTCATAACCATCAAATTAATTTCTTAGAGATTATTAAACAGCTATCACATATATTTAATCACTAATGCTATAGAAAGTGCCTGCACTGCTTACAGAACATTGGGAAGTTTTAGATGTCATTCACAACTTGCTTCTGGTTAAAAGTACTTGGAAAATTAAGGGTTAACCCAAACAGGTCAACTTCTGATACACGTCTTCTTTTATGAGGAAGTCAGTCTTATGTTAAGACAGAGATCTTAGGTTTATCTGTAACCTTTCTACATTAATTTGTGCAATTTTCAGCTTCTTTTCATTTCTGAAATAGACTTAACAGACTTACCTAGTAGAGAGCAGTTTGTCACACACAGAAAAGAAAAAAAACATTGAAATGCTGTAATAAAAGATGTTGTTGCACAAGGTATAGTGTTACCATCCAAGCAAATTATTTCAAAAGTAACAAAGCACTTACCAATAGCTTTCAGAAACTCTTCATAGTTCTCTTGAGCATAGACCTGCCAGGTTCCATTGAATGCCATTATGGCTGATATAATGCAGTGTGGGGACAGGGATGCTAGCAGGAAAGTGAGGGAGTTCCCTGCTCATTTAGATGCTATTTATGGTAAGGAAAAAGTCAGCCCAAATTGAGATGATCAGCTAATTATTAACTGAAGTAACAATTATTAATCATCTATTTGTTCTTAATGATCATAACCTCTAGTTCATTCTGCTTTGCAGAAAGTGTTACCTTGACCAACAGTTTGGGATGTTCTGTTTATTGTGGGTCACTGAACTAGGGTAATGATTATTAATTGTTGTAAAGTGTTGCACTGATTAATCTGTTTTCCTTTTGTTCACAACTCTTACATGTTTAATGTATTTTCTGTGCATGGATAGAATTCTTCAGATAAAATGGTGTAATTTACAGTAGATGCAAGAGCTTCCTAATTATTACAGTATTATTAAATCTTATCTTAGTGGGATAGTCATATATGACTTCATCCAGTAGATGTCAGTAATGTGCGTCTAAATCTGTGCTAATTTCAGGTGGTTTTTTTTTCAAGAATCACTTCATACACAGATGATTAAAGGTAAAATAAAACACGGAACATTCCTTGGAGACTGAAATTAAAGAAATAAATAGAATGCGTTTTTTTTTTTTTTTGTTTTCACGGATTGCACCGAGAATTCCTTACTCATAATAACTAGCGAATATATTCCTTGCTGTCTGTGCAAGAATGACTGTTGACTTTGGAAGTCATTCATTAGAATATGTGTGCCTTGCAATGATATTGCTTAATTCAAATAAAGCCTATATCCCTGGGGTAGCTGACCTTTGTAAGATAACTTTTATTTCTCCGTACTGGTCAGTAATTCTTCTATTTGAATAGGAAAACAGTGCTAAACTTTTTCTTACAAATTCACAACTATTTTTTAGTATGTAATTTTGAAGAAAATTCACACACAAAGAGCCAAACATTCCAAAGTGGAGAAAATGGTTAGGTCATGAACTAAGTTTTAATTTTAGTTAGCAGACAGGAACAAGACTGAGTTTAGAAAACCTGTGCTCTAATTCTGATTAATCAACCTCATCTTCATTCCAAGAACACATTTCTCTTAAACATGCTCTCATCTATTTTGTTGTTTGTTCTCTCAAAATCATATCAGAGAACCAGTTTATGATGAAAGAGTAATATTTCTTTATTAAAAGGGGCATAAATAAGTCTATCAGCCTCCTCCCAGCAACAGTCAGTCCTCAATAATTAACAGGAATGGGGTTGGAGTGTCGGTAAATAACTTGCTTCTTGATAACTCTATATGATTACTCATGAGTTTGGAAAATTCATGACTCCTGGAGGCTGTCTATATGCTAGCAAGCGTAACTTTCATTTCTCCAAAGACTTGTCATGCACACATCCTCGTTTCTGACTTTAAAAATGTTTATTATTCCTATCAAAAAAATTTCACTAATTCAAAGATTTACTTAAAGCTTTTCTAGTGATCGTGTCCTCTAAAGACCACTACTGCCTTGGGTAGCTAATTATTACACTAAAAGGCACACATGAAAAAATTCCTCTTGTACACATACGCTTAAGATAGTATTCCCATGTCTGTAAGATGGCTTTGGAGCTACTCTGTAGTAGCAGTCTCAGTGCTATCCCTGCCACAGTCTGGAACAGAGATTATTTTTTCTTTATTAATTAAAGTTTTTATTCTAGTTATCTTTTTCATTTTTTAAAAAGCAAAATGTCTGATTTTGTAATCTCATTTACATAGAATAATACCTTGCTGCCTGAATAGCAAGGGTAACGATCTGTTGTGGGCTGCCACTCACTTGACTCTCAAATGTTGATGTTTACATTGCAGTTATTCCTAGGGCATGACTCATCCGTCTTCAGTTTATACCATAGAATAATGTTCATGATGCCATCAGAAGGACCTGTTTTTCTTCATTCACTATAAAATGAAACTAGAAAATTAGCTAAGGACTAATTTTTTAATTGTAATGTTATTACATTTAATGATATAAATTATATAGATATAGTTTAAGTAGTGTCTGAAATGTAATTACATTTGGTTAGGTGATTGGCAGTCCTGTCCAGATATTGCTGTGCTCATGTACCCAGTCATTGGAACAGCAGAGTGTCTCAAATAACCAGGAAAAATATAGTTGTTGTTAGGATAGTTTATTCTAGCTTGTAAAGCAAGATAAGATGCTGTTTTGCTGAATAAATGCAGTTAGCCGTATGGCTCTATTAGGAATAAAATCATTTTTTTTACTTCTCACTGACATGGTTTTCTAACTGCAGAGTAGTTTAACATAACTAATAAATCTTTAAATCTTTTTACTTTTAGAGATAATAGGAGTTCAATAGAGTGGAAGGACCTAGCTCCATCTTTGTAGACTTTCACTCAATCCTCTTGTGCAAGTGTATTACTATGTATCAATATATATAGAAGCTGGCTGTGCTCCTCTGTAAAGAAAACCAAGACTTGAAAATGTTGCTAGTTTGTTTTCCTACTGTAGCCATATGGGAGGCAAAGAGGGCCCTAATTCACTGTGATCCTTAGGAACATTCCTAACTTTCCACACGTTGTGACAGGCCAACTGATTTCAAGACATTTCAAAATAGATATATGCTTGACTACTGTGCTTAAGTGGTACCGAAGGTGTGAGTTTAATAATATGCACACAAGCATTTGTCAGCTACATGATAATCATTAACATATGGGGTTTTAATTAAAAAAAAAATCCGCAAAAGCATAGTTCTTGTATTTGTGAATCCTCTGGTATTTCCCACACAGCACTATCAGCTAGGAAATAGTTACTCTGTAAGGTGAGCACACATACACACAATCTACATATATATAAATAAGAACTTAGGGTATGAGAATAGAAGTCTTTTGTTAGGGTTTTAGAGGTTTTCCACAGATTTGTTTACAGATGCTTTGATGAGGATGCAGTGGTGGTTTTTTTTCCACATATCTTATATCACTTAAGTTTGGCATGTTTTCCAGTGAAAGACATTGAGAATTATTTTCTACATATAAAGAGAGACATGAGCCTGAGTTATAGGGCTGAGACATTCAAAGGAATCCAAAGATGTTAAATTCCTTTTAAATTAAATGGATCTAGATGCCTAATTCACGTAGGCTGTCTTGGTATACTCCCACCTGGGATTTACTCTGCTTCCACTCCTGTTGGTATCTCTCCATGCTTATAAACACTGATAGTAACCTGCCCTGTTTCAGAACCATATTTGTTCTTGACATAGATGCTGTATTTTCCTGTGTCTTCATTGCAGACTTTCTCAATGGTAATTGTGACGACTGTCCCCTTCACATCCATTTTGTAACGATCTTTAAAGATGATAACCTTCTCATTTTTGAACCAAGTGATTTCTGGGTAAGGATCTCCAGATACGCAGCAAGTTAAACACAGGGTCTGTTGTAAAACAGGTAGTGGAGATAGATTATGAAGGCATAAATGAGCAAAGAAATTCTGTCAGTGTGAAAGTAAGAAAAAGAAAAAACAGCATCAGTAAAAATCCATAAGGGTTGCTTATCTGTAACCTCTTTTGTTCTGATCAGACTTAGAACAGATTCACTCGGTAGTATTCATCATGTAGCATACTTTTTTCTGAGGTCTTTGTTTTATAAAATGGGCGATGATTCTTAAAAGGTAACTATTATTTTAAAAGTCGGTACCTCACAACTAGATTGAATTTCATTGTCTAGTTTGTGGCTCTGAGCAAATGGTGGTCCTTGATTGAATTTTATTTCTCTTGCAGCTTGTGTGGGACTACAGAGTTCTTAAATTAATGACTGTAGGTCACTTTCACAACCTGGGTTAATAAAATGTCAGAACTGAGAGTAGGCATTTTAAACACTATGGAAATTCGTCTAGATTTTCAATTTCCAGAACTATCCATCTCCTTCTCCTGATATACACCAGTGTTATCAGAATTAATGTGATTAAATTCACTGGGCTTGACTCATATTTGTGCCACTATCTTTTTGCCTCTTTCTTACACTGTAAAGTGACACTTAAATAGGCATACAGAGAATTTGGAATTACTTTACAGGCTTGTTATTCTTCCTGAGGACCAGTAAAGGTGATTTTGACCCAGAAGTGTAAGATGCAGGTTTATATGATGGGAAAATCAGGTCCAGTACGTAAACCACTTAGTCTAATCTTGAAAATGAAATGGAAAGACAACAGAAAGGATCTGGCTATGAAACAGACCTAGGGAACAGTAACACCTGCAACCTGTAAGAAAGAACTGTTGTGCCACAGAGAGCGCATGCATGTGCAGAAGCACACAGGGTTTGGAAGCACCATCAGCAATATTGGGGAGTGATACAAGCCCTGCAAAGAGTATCACCTCTCTCCTTTGGCAATTGCAGTAGTGCAGAAAAGCACAGCTGTGACCGACCTGGCTGGGAATGTACTGTAGGGGAATACAAGTAATTCTCTCCCTGTCAGCCATTCTTCTGTGCCTGTGCAAAGGCCAACTGTATAAACAGTTACTCAATATTACCTTCTCCTCCATGATGGTGGCAACATCTGGCAGACCTTGAACAACTCTGGCACGACCTGGGAATGAACAAACATGACCCCTTAATTTTACCTGTCAGTGTAACACTTGGCATTGTTTGGCAGAAGAAAACATACAATAATTTACTTACACTTCTCTGCTACCGCTGCTTCTCTGAAAGTGAAGAAGAGATACAATTATAGTGGTTTTACTTACTAGATATGTATTCTTGGTGCTTTTGAAAGGAAAATTATTCTCTAATTATTCTCTAGTTAATAGTGGGGGGGGTTTCTTAGCCACTTTATAGAACTAGAAGAAAATTTGTAGTGAAAAGTAATTTCTGAATTTCAGTAAATTACATAGGAACAATGGAGATTCTCATATATCTGTTTAAGGCTTAATCTTCCAAATGGTTCTGAGAGATGCTACTGATAGATTGATCCCTTCAGAAAAGGGCTTGTGATGGCACTCCAGCAATCATATCAAAAGAACAGTCCTGAAAGCTGAAGTCCTCTGAACCAGCAGAAAAGATACAACACAAGGAGAAGCGTTGGAGGCGTCCTCCTCAGCTCTTCAAGGTGTCTTAGGTCTGAAAGGGGATGGCCCCTGTGGCTTATGAGACAGGGATTCCATTCCATTCAGGCAGATACATAGCCTGACAGTTTGGTGCCTGAGCATTCACAGTTAGTAAGCATGAAGGTTATTCTGGGATACAGATATATTTGTTAATGATCCTCTCCAACCTTCTCCCCTTCTCCCCCCCAAATCCACACTACTAAATGGCCACCACAGAGTATGACACCCAAAATGGATTAGCTTAGCTGTGAAAATATGTGGGCAGAAACTCACTTTAGCCTTTTATGCTCAGCCAGGGCATCTTCAAAGGCTGCAAGAACAAAAGGGTTTTTAGGGAAAGGTGTTGTTTATTTTATTTGACTTGATAGATGTAATGTAATGCTTTATTGTTGGAATTACAGGTGTTTGTGCACACAGCTACATATAATTAGCTGCATCATCTAAATAGTATATCTGCCTTAAGGAAATAAATATCTATTTATTTACTCCTGAAGTACGTGGGGCCTGATGCTCCCTTTCCAAAGGGAAGTCCTGAGCAGGAAAAAAGCCTTCTTTGAGCAGTTTGGAAAAGATTTTGTGGACCTGAAGCCACATTCTCCTTTCCAAGATGCCAGCTGCAAGCTCCATTGGCCTGTGGAGGAATCGGGACACATCCCAGGAGCAGCAGCCTTCCACTCATCCTTTCCCCAGGAGTGCCTTACCCTATGGCAGCAAAGCTCCTGAAAGGCTTCAGTCCTTTCTGCTGCTCACTCCTCTATTTCCTTTGCTGCTCACTCCTCTATTCCCTTTGACTCTGTGCACTTCACTGTCCTTCTTAACCCCATTTCATGGCATGCTGTATCACAGAACTGCAGCTCCGTCTCAGGAAAGGGAGAGAGGAGTCAGTGCCTATGATTTGAAGGAATCTTGGAAAGCAGCATAGGTATATCTCATTTCCTATGACAGTATTGTTTAACTCAGCTTACCTTGCCCAGACAAGTCAGTTGATAGTTTGTGAGAGTCTTTCCCATCAAATAACTCCAGGGTATATTTTCCTTTATCAGCATCTGTGGGGTTCAGTATGTGAAGCCAGATCTGATTCACAGTACTCCCAGTTTTCAGTCTCTCACGACTTTCTAGTCGTTTCTCCCTAAGCAAACAATTATGTCATTTCAATCATATTTAAGTGAAACTGCATAAAATAGAACACTAACTTTCTTTAGATCTACTGGTTAAAACAAAAGATTTGGAGTCAGGACTTCACTGCTAATTTCACAGACAGTTATATATACTCAGTCACTTTTGAAAATCTCACTAGGCACCTCTTTTCTTTTAGGCAGTTTGCCAAAGCTCTGCAAACTCTACAAAAGAGCTCCTCATTCTTATTTAAGAGAGTAGACAGAATTTAGACATTAAATATTTTTAAGGGTTTAGCCCTCGAGTATCATTTCAATTGGCCTCCTTGTATACATCTTCAGGAAGCGTCTAATAAAACGGTGTTTCTCTATTTTACCAGGATACTATGAGACTAAATTAACTAGTGTTTGGAAAGAATTTTGTAATATTTGGGAATATTTGTTACTCAAAGTCGGGTAAAGCAGTCAGAAGTGTGAAGTAATAGAAGCGAAGAACTTAAAAAAAAAAAAACCCAACAACTTCTTCTCCTGTCTGTAACCAAGGTGGTTATAACTGAGCAGTCCCTCAAATGCGTCATTATTATTCTAGTAAAGATGACCACTTATAAATATTTGTGCAGTGCTAAGATAAAAATAACATGATTACTTATTTTAGAAGCCCACTCGTTTCAGGATATTGAGAACTGCAGTTTTCAGCCCTTACTCAGCAAATCTCCCATTGCCTTTAAAATCTGCAGGCTTGGGCCCAACATACTTAATCTCAGTGATAAATAATACAAGCAGCAGCACACCAGGAGCCTTGCAAATATCCTTTGGGAACTTACTGGTGATACCAGGTTGTTTTCATGTAGTCTGTGTAGTACTTCACTTCAGTGTAGATTTTGATGCCTTCTTCGGTAGGCTGAATTTGCAGAGGTGTAGCAGAAAGAGCTAATAGTATAATTAAAAGATTGGAATTGAGGAGGACAACCAAGGAAGACTATGTAATTTTACATGTTATGCAAACAAAATCCCAAGCAACCTATTAACATTTCTGTCTGGAGAATGTGGCCAGCTGAAAGCTAGATGGTATTCTACCTCTTGAAGGCCATGGATCTTTTACCCAACAACCTGTAAAAAATGTCAGTATCTCTTCTAGAGAGTGTTCAACACTAGCTCAGATGTTCTTGTTCTTAGCAGTCTCATCTTACAGACGAGATCATAGAGACTTGCATCTCTGTTTGCTTTGATGGTGGAATATGAAGCTACACCTGTGCCTGAGCAGAAGTAACAGTGCAAAACAAGAATTAAACGCGTGTTTCCTTCTTTTTTGAGGTGAAAGTAATCTGTCTTTCACAACCCCATGTAATCCTGACTTTACTAATACTTCTTTCCATGCGTACCTCACTGTTTACTAACCACTCCCCTTGTCAGTTTAAGGGTGCTTCTAATGCCAAAGGAATATTTAATCAGTACTGTTGTACTTCAGAGATTAGGGATTGACCTCTTGATCCAAAGCCAGGGGCACCCCCAGAGCTGTTGCTCTGATCATGACACCCCATCTTCCTCCCCTTCTATTATTACTGTATCAGCTGATGAGAAAAAGACATACCACTGGTCCTGCACAGCTCCTTGAGAAGGTCTTCAAAAGCTGCGAAGGCATAAAGATGGTAAGTATCTATAACTACAGTATTTAGCAAATCACATCTCAGCTACCGACTTAATTTCATTCTATTTAGAATGTATTATGTATAGTAGTTATCCATTATCCTTTCTGTTTAGAAGCTTATGGATATGAAGTTCTTGACACTGACTGATTTATTTTTAGATGCTGGGCATTTCTTGCTATATTTGGATGCTTCTATCTTCCTTAACACTCAGTGTGTGCAAGAGTGTCTCATAGAAAACAGATTTATGTATCAGGTTTAAATGATAGATTCCAGATGTTAGGGTAGGATTTAATCTTGGAAAGTAGAATCTTTTGATTGCTGCTGAGTTGAAGTGACCAAAACATTACTGAACTTTTAACCCTGGTACTTGACAGAATTTAGATTGTGGTCATAACTGATCTAGTATATATATTTGCTATAATAGATCAGGAAACTCTTTAAATCCGGCCAGTGATTTTTAATGCAAATTTTAATTCCTATGGATGCATATAGATACTATGGTAATTAACTGCAGTAGAAAGTTAGGAAATTTTTTCTAAATACAAACTGAATCCCAGGCAGGGGTAGGAATCTGTAATATTGCCTGATACAAGAGTCTCTTACCTCCTTTTGTGAGATCAAGTTGGGTGTAGTCCTCTCCTCGGTCATCTGAAACAAGTGCTTTGTATTGGCCCTCATCTGCTTTGGTTATCTGGCAAATATATATGTACATATAAAATACTAGAAAAACCCACAGATATTTCACATATCATTGAAATAGGACAGGATTTGGAGAAGGGGGAGAGCTGAGATGTTCTTCTTCCCTCCCAGTGAATTTGGCTTGAGTGATCAGAAAGGAGGCAAAAAAGGCAATTTGCCCTAGAACCTGCTTTGAAAGGTTAGAGAGGGCCCTGATTCATTACAAGATGAAATGTTGTCATTTATGGGGGTCAGTATCTCAACTTTTGCTCTCTGTCACTTTGTAGCACTGGGTGCCCTTTGGTGTAAGATACTGGTGCTGCTGGGACTCAGTAATGACGAATCCCACTGCTGTGTAAATTTTTCTCATGTTACTTTGCCAATATGCTTCATCTTCCAGCCTGCAGTGTCCCTGCTGTTCCTCAGACTTGTGGGAGTGGAGACACCCACCTTCACACATGTTTTTCTATTCATTTTTTATAGGTCATGTGGCTATTTGAAATTAAGAATCAAAACCAAACAAGATTTAAATTAGCCCTGCAGAGATGGAATAAAGTTCTGACTGCACTGTCAAGCTCCCTTACTTCACCTCTGTGCTCTCGGAGGAAAAGAGTTGCAGGTTTCTAAGACTATATACAGGGACATTATATCAGCTTGTCTGGCCTTGTGTATGGAGCAGGCCATAAAATTTCATTCAGTTACTTCTGTAGTGAGTTCAGTAACTACCTTTTTTTTTTTTTTTTTGGACTAAAGCTCATCTTTAGATATAGAAAACCTGAAGAACCCTCACTTTCCTTATTAGCCACTCTCAGAATATCTTAAAATTATAATAGCCACTCGCTGTTAAAAATTATCTCATTTCTAACTCAGATCGATCTGGCTATAATTTTAATTTGTTCTTGTTTTGTGCTTTCTTTTGTGTTTGTTCAGTTTCTTTCATTTAGTGGGCACTACCCAAAACATACTTTGAATGTTGATAATAAGATCAACCCACATTATTTGCATGCTTAAGTGATATCACCAAAGCCTCTGAGTTGCTTTATGTTTTTCACCTTTTTAATCCGAAGAGTTCCTATCCCCGTTTGTTGATCAAACACGTCGCCTGTTCGTGCTTTCTTATTGAAGAACCATTGAAAGCTTGTGTCCTTTTTCAGGTTTGTTGCCTGTTTGAAGTGAAGGTTTAGAAGTCAGGATCCCTAGTGCGTTTTATTTCTGAATGCCTGCATGTCCTTCTAATAAGGAATTTCACTTGCATTGAAGGATTACCACAGAATCTGGGAAATTTCCTTCTCTATTAAAATTTCTGTCCAAGATATATTACCTCTTACCTTTCGCTGGTCTGCAAATAACTGTTTGAATGAGCATTGTTCATGCCATCCCTTAAACTTCACATCTAAAATTTAATAATAAAGAGATACAACCGTGTACAGTATGAATTATATGGCTATATGTACCTTGCAGGTAAGCAGTACTTCACAGTTCTCAGTAACCTTCCATTTCAAGTTTTCTATAAAATGAGGACCTATAAAAGAAAATAAATGTCTTTTGCTGTGTATTCCCACAGGTCTCACAAGTTATGTATGGAAATGCCACCATCTAGTGGTGAATCCCAACAGTGATCCCTCCAATAACTATTTTTCACTCCAACTGAGTTTTACATACAGTAGGCACCACAGTTTATGGCGTAGGATTATTGCTGTCATTGTAATTTCCTAAAGTAATAGATCTTATGTTTGTTGAGGGGGTCTTATCTTAAAATGTTAATGATGCTGCCTGTACTTTTTTATCCCTGTTAGAAGGCATATTTGTCTTTCCGATTTTAATATTTTTTTTCTCTGAAAGGACTTTTTAACAAACTTCCTTATTTATCAGTATAAGATGGGGGGGGGAATGTAATGGTTCTTTTTTAACATAGCTGGAGAAGCCTGTTTTCTACCAGGAAAGTGGATGGATTTTAACTACAGGGTATATATTCAGACTGGACAATTTTCAGAATTCAAGACCGTTACAGCACTGATTCAGAGTATCTGTACTGAGGGCTGTGGCTAGCTTGGTAAAACTCTTTAAATAAATTACTTTGATTTTTAAGTCAGGAGGGTATCTTAAAATGAGGACACTTATCTTAGTGCATTAATCAGCTTAAATAAGACAGTTAAAAAAAGACAGTAAAGAAAACTTCTTAGAGCACTCAATAGAATAGGTTTGCTCAAGTTTTGTCATCCAATTAGCATTAGTTTTGGTAAGTCATTAACCTTCAGGCTATCATACCCTGCTTTTTCTTCCATTCTCTCCGTTTTGCATGAGCCTCCTCTGCAACTTTATCAAAACCTGCAAGAATAGCAATGGTCAAAGTCAATAAAAATACATTATTTCTTAGCGTAACACAGTAGAGATTTCTGATCATGAAATGTATTATCATGAGAGCTGTGATATATGTTTACAAGAGATCTCTGGTGCATCAGTTACCTCTGGTCCCTATTGAGAGTCCTTGAACAGATTAGTACCATCAGTCTTTCATTATATGGGTTGCTCAGTACCTAATATTTATTTTCGTGATGTAAAATACATAGAAAAGTCTTGAAGACCTGAGCATTATGCATTTAGGAAATGAAACAGGAGTTTTGACTGTATAAAATTGCAGGCTATGAACCCTAAGCTTAAAATGTTTCAAGGGTAAGAAACAGAGGAAGGCAGAGAGTGTAGAATTTACCTCACTTATAGACAACTGTATGTAACTTCAATTATCTCTATTTCCTTTTTTGTCAATGGAGAAAAAAGGGCACTTTCAGAGCACAATTCATCTAACTTATTTTGTATTCTGACCTTAGCCTACGCTGAATCACTGTGTAAAGGTGCCTGTTTCTCTCCACTGGCTATAAAAAGAAGGAAGTAGACATTGACATTTGTATAGACACATTCTATTCAAAGATTTTGGAAGCTTCAGAAAGTCATTTGAAATCATCAAACTGTTCACAAGAACTGAAAATGGAGGTAGATGCTGTTTAGGGAAGTATTTGATTGAAGATCTTGTTTCTTTCTCTTTTTAATTAATCAAAACACTTCTCTGTAGTAGCACATACAAAAACCCTATATGTTCCATATTCAGCTTTTCTTTGTTGCTTGGACTTCTCCCTAAGTGCAATTGACTGATTTCTTTATTGCATTCAGTTTAATGCAATTAACCAGTGGTTAAATGCACTGAATTTTCAACCGTTCTCAGATAATTGAGTATGCATTGTAGTACATGTCATACAGTTTACTGTCAATACAGAGTTTTCCATAGCAGAATAATATGTAAAAATTTGGAAAAAAATATAGATCATTCCAATGCCTGTTTTGCTCTAGCAGGCCATGTTTATCATCAAGGACCTTATCTGTAAGGCCAAAAGCTTCGATATGTGTTAAAGAGAAATTCGGATAGTTTCTTACATGATACCTGGACTTTAAATACATGTGCTAAAATAAAGATTTGATCTCCCCACTTCTGATGTGCCACTATAACTGTGGGAAATACTTTGGGACTTTAAGTGCCTAGAAAACTTTCCACCGAGTGTGGCAGTTTTATATTTGATCCTGAATTTCCACTTACGTTCATCCACAAGGTCTAGAGTGAATTGATTTTTAGCTTTCCCATCTTGCAGCTGGGCTGTGTACGTCCCTTTATCCTCATCACAGAAATTCTGGATTATAAGTTCTACCAGACCTTTTTCTCTGACAAAGTTTATTTTATGTGTCTGTGTAAAACAAAACAAATAATACAATAAATTGAATATTTGTTTCACGGAGGAACTGTTCCAAGGCCAGATCCTGGCACAGCATCTTTTACAACGCTCAGACTTCAAACAGTCCGTTTGTATATGTATCCTCATATATTTCCCTCACCTTACAGGTGTATTGAAGCCAATACATTCTGATATAATCAGTGCTCCAGGAGTTGCCGCCAAGTGAATTTTGTTAAAGAGTATTTTTTTCCAATATAAATTAAAAGTCTATTTATTTGTTTATGCACATAAGTATAGTAGAATTGCTTATAGCAGAACTCTTCTCTGTGAGAAAGTTTCAATTAAAACCACATGACACAAATTCTTTCTCACTGTATGGTATAGATTTTTCAGCTTACCAGGATCTGTATGAGTTTTAGAATAATGAACGTGTTGCACATAATTACATATCTGTGGTATATAATCACATATTTGGGCAATGATGAGTAATATTGCCACCCTCTGACATCATGCAAGCACTACTGAACCTTTTATACATACGCCCCAAAACCTGCCAAACGCTTAAACGTAAATACCATCATTATGCTTTACTGGTTTGTTTGCTCTAAGCAAATAGTATCATTACAAAGAGCTTGACAAATGTTTTGTAATCATGCGTTACCACCTCAGTCCTCCAGTGTAGAAAAGACAGTTCTTACAATAAGTAAAGGCTACAATATATTTGCTACACATTCCTTAAAAAAAAAACTCAAACATGGTAATAAAAGCTTTGAAATTATTTGGATTAGTCCTATCCCTTCTATCTGTTCTCCTTGTGACCTTGGCATTGCTATACTGCTTTTAAAGGGCAGGTGAATGAATTATATTGCGCTTCATTTCATTCTGAACTGTTCTCTACTCCAGTCCTATCATTGTAAATACTTTGAAAATGATATAATATTAACTTGATATGGGAAGATAAGGAAGAGGCTAGAACATTTTTCTATACATATTAGAAGATAGGAGTACACTGTAACCCATGATGCAATCTTATTTCCACTGACTCAAACTGAGAAATGAATCACTTCCATCTGCTCTTAGAAGTCATAATATTTATCCATATTCAATTCAAAGAGATAGGGTGGAAACCGTGCAGCTTTGCTTTGCATGGCAGAAGAAAAATGTTCTGTCTCATTGTCAGAGATGGTATTTCTTTAGCATCTGCTTAAATGACACCAGTTTATTCATCCAGGACAAAGCTCTTTGTCCTGCACAGGAGCATTTGTAGTATTAGGTGAATTACACGTGGCTGAGGCTTGTTATTGGAAAGTCCTTCTACAAAAGGGGAGTCTCTGCTGGGCAAGATTGCCAGAGGCAGCTTGTCAGTGCTAACAGCAAAGCAGGGTAAAGAGTGGGCTTTCTTTAAGTGTTACCACGGGAGTTTCTGCTGGCCAGAGCAGTTACGGATATTATGCTGTCTTTAACTAATAGCTTTTGTGCTGCAGCCGTACTAGGACTGGATAACTTGAGAATCCGACAATTATGTTTGGCTTCCTGTTTATGCCTAGTGGGAAATCAAGCCCTTGAGTCTTCCAAAAACAGCCATCAAAATGTCTGATGAGAATTTAGAATACGTGGGATGTACCTATTTTGTCTCTATCCCTGTTAAGCAAGGGGAAAGTAAGTCACATAAATGCCAATATTTAAAAAGTACGTACTGGAGTACTTTTGAGCTCGTTCCCATTGAAGATCAAATGCAGCTCTGCGTTTGGTGACAGCTTTTCAACCTCCAGCCACAGCCGCACTTCTCCTTTCTCAAGAACATCGATGTTCCATCCAGATATTAGCTTGATCACTGGAAAACAAGAAGGGGGGCCCCAGGGGAATTCATATGCAAATCACACAGCTGCAATCAACCAGGGTTATGCCAGGGTTCACCTTTCAGAGTGTTTGTATAGTAGTCACAAATGTAGTTGCTTCTTACTGATTCAACTTACATGGATTCCTGATTTCATGGCTACGTTTCAGTAACTTGTCCAGATCTGAAATGCAAAGAATGGCAATTGATTTAGATTATTATAACGAGGCCAAAACAAACTCGTTGTATCAATTTGATTTAGTGTGTCAATGGATCTTTATTTATGTCAAGAAGTTGATAATAAGTACAAAACATTCCATAGCAGGAGGGACTAGAACAGGTCATTAAGATAATTCTTCATTATGTCTCAATAAAATGTTGATAGTAAGAATTCAGGAAACACCTTAAAAATTTTTAAATCACTGTAATATTGTATTGTGTCTTAATTGTGAAATCTAAAGGAAAAATTACCTTTCAAGACCATGGAGTCTTTTCTTAGAGAGCTCTAAAAGGAACTGCCCTTGGGCCTTCAAGGAATAGGAAACATCTTTCTAAGGATATCACTATCATTAAGTGATGTCAGTCACTTTCTATTCCTCTAGGAGGAGCTTCCTCTAAACATTTAATATTATACAATTATAGCACATCAGGCTTTTGTTCTTGTTATTAGTTTTTACCTTCTTGTGTTAAAGTACAGCTGGCAGAGATATCATCATCTACATCTGTGACCTCCACTGAATATATACCCAGATCCTTTTCTGATGGGTCTGTCAGTATAAGCTTAGATCTTAGGAAGAAAAATATGGATAAATCATGTTTTTGTCGTAAATGATGCTTTTTGTAAGAGCATGCGATACACTCGATACTTTTGGAACATCAAATATAGCACTCATAGCCATTTATATGTGACATTGCAGAGCAGGGCCGAAATATTAGCCATATGATAGCTGAAGCTTCTCTTCTGTGACCCGAAGATTGTACTGAATGCCCTGTTTCATGGGCATCAGACTGAGAATCAGGGACAGCGAATTGCAAAAATTCAGTAGTTTATTTGTATTTTAGCTGAATATTGAAAGGAGAGGGAACATTTGGCTTGATGTTTTTTCTCAATATTTCGTAAGTTTTTTATTCTACAGTCCACGATTAATTTCTCAGTGTGCATCATCTACTCACTTATTGCCTTTCTCTTCAGTTCGAACTCTGTCAGAATCTGGTGGTCCTTCATAATCCTTTGACCAGATAAATTCAGATGAATCATTCTTTTCAGGAGCTTCAAAAGCCATGTAAATGAAACCCTCCTCGTCGACTCCAAGTTCAATTTCATTTGTGCCTGTATGAGAAAAAGAAAAGAAGCATTCCTTAACAAAACAGGGCAGGGCTTAGTTTCTGGGTATCTGACTTAACCTTTTACTTTATGGATGGAGAAACACAGTAATGATGAGTAAATGTAGATGCAGAAAAACAGATGTTTTCAAAAAAGCCAGAGTGTACAGTTAAGAGTAAATTCATTTGGGCAGTTTGAGTTGCTCATCTTTACTTTGACCGAAGCCTTTGCTTGCTATGAAACGTGTAACTAATATTTACTTAAAGCAGCTTTTTACTGGAAACATCATAGTATTTAGAGACTCCTCACATCAGGATAGGTCTTAGATACTCTGTTTTGTACCATTACTGTGGCTATTGTGATAAGGTATTTTTCTTCTAAAGCAGAGAGTCAAATTCACCCTCGGTGTAACTGCAATGAAATCAGCTCACATGAACTCATGACAAAGCTAAATTAATGTCATTCCATCTTGTTAAGAAAGAATGAAAAGTAATTATGTCTCATCTTCTGCTACAAATAGTACATATATTAATATGCATCAGCTGCAAGGCAACTTTTAACATCTATCTCCCTCTCTTTTGTTTGTGCAGCTGCTATTCTGTTATACAAGCTTTTGTCAGAGCAAAAGGAGGAGGGTTAACTGATCAGTATGGATGACAAATCAGCCAGGGGGTTGGACGCTTGCTAGAAAGGTAGGTTCTATCTTCTGCTCTGCAGAGCTTTCCTTACTGATATTTTGCAGATTGCAGATATCCATTGTGTGTCTCAGGTTTCTGTCTGTATTTTGGGAAAGTAGTACTGCCCTAGCTTGCAAGGTTGTTGTAGGGATAAATACTTTACAGATCATGTGGCATTTATGATAATGGGGATCAAAAAAGTACTTTGGACAGACTCTTAGTTCAAGCCAAAAGCTGTGCAACTGAGTTGATATTTTTCACTGGGAGATGTTCAGCATGGACAATCTGATCACTTTTGGTTTCATACCGGGTTTGGTTTTTGCCACCACTGGATCTGAAGGGAGAGAGGGGGGACCAATTCCAGCCTTATTCAGTGCTCTTACTCGGAAAATAAGTGATTTCCCTGTCTCCAGGTCTGAAACCTGCAGGAAACAATGACAGAAATTAACATAATCTAAGTGAGAAGCAACACCTGGATACTAGGTGCATATACAAACCTTCATATGGGTGCTGGCTATGGACTGCTTATTTATTTGCTTCCATTCCTCTGACCCTTCTTCACACACGTCTACATAATACCCTGTAATTGGACCCACTCCTGTGTACAATGGTGCTTCCCAGTGTAGCATCAGGGATGTATCTCTTACTTCAGTGAACTTCACATCGTAGGGAGGACCTGTTCAACAAAGGGTAGGCTGTCAAACATTAACATTAAAAAATGCAACTAGGTGCCCTCCATTTTAGTCTCAAATTAGAAGGCTGAATTTTATGATAACAACTGAATAGCAGGTCCACAATAATCATTTCTATGGTAATTAAACAGCAGACGGTCTAGAGAAAAAGCATTCATCAGCTGGTTTAATGTTGTTTGCTTTGGTGTAATATACAAAGATGTTGAGATATAGATCAAGATTCTTCATTGGCTGGAAACAATGATATTGAAAATACCCGGATGCTCTGTCTGAAATGTAGAAATAATACACTTGGCTCTGAACTTCTCATTTGCCTGCGTTTGTATGCTTGGACCCACCATAACACCATTAACTCCCTATAGTTTTCAGAAGTCCCTCAGATTCACAAGAGTAGGGAGATTAACTAATATATGGGGCAATATTTTTTGGCTGTTGTTTTTACATCTTACTTACCTGGTTCTGGCATTGTCCATTCCTCACATTTGAACAAGTCACTAGGTTCAGATACTTTCCCAACACCAGCCATATTCATTGCACGTGCCCGGAATTCATACAGATGTCCTTCCTCGAGGTTGCTCACCTTTGAGTTCAGAAGCGCAAACAGGTTATTAGTACAATCTTGCTTGGTAGAACAGGTTTGCAATTGCAGACATCAAGATATAGTCTTATGATGTTATGAAGAGAGTTCTAGATGAGAGAGATTAAGAACTGAAAGGGGCAAAGTAGCTCATCACTTTTTATTGTTGATTCCCAGTGTGCCTAAAGAAGGATACTATTATATCTAAATGTAATACCTTGTAAACTCGTTGAGGAATTGGCTGAATATTGACTTCGTGCCAGTCTAGTTCAGATGCATCATGCTGATCTAGGAAGTAACCCAAAATCTTTGTTCCTCCTTTGCGCTTCGGGGGTTTCCAGCAAATGGTCATGTCAGTCTTCCCGCAGTGTAGAAGAACAAACCCATGCGGTGCTGATGGGCAAGCTGCACAGCGAAGTGAGAGATAAAATAGGATATTGTTCAATATAGGTTTGAGATCTAGGAATCAGGAAAAGAGATGTTGATATTGGATGAACTGAACTGAGGAAATCTCTGTGTTCCTATCAAACAGACATGATTCTGTTTGTGTTAAGGCCCCTTAATACCACTTTTGCAGTGTAAAAGTATTCTCAACTGACCAGATTCTTACTCAGGTATCACAAGAACAATCATGGACAGGTCTGAGGGCTTTTTTTGCACTTTGCTTTATGGTTTGTCTATTAGAGAGAATGTTAATGGTTGGATATTGACTAGTGTGGTTGGTAGTTTTTTGGTAATTGTGTGTAATTGCTGATGGGGTTCACGCTAGAGAAATTCACAATGCTGATTTCAAGATACCAGGAACTTAAATAGATACTGCACTTAAAATGGTCCCTTGTCCTACTGCCAAATGAATACTGAAGACTTAACACACTGCTAATGCAAAATGCTAATTAACTGTGTCCACTGTTGACAAGTATAATTGATGACAGAAGCTGCAGGGTACAGGAGAATCAGTTTGCATTGTGTTGCTGCTTATTACCACTATGTCTAATAATAGCTACACGATAGATACGTTTTTGAGGGATTTTTTTGTGCGTGCATGCAATCATGTGTTACTTACCAATAGCTGGCCTTACAACGATGGGATCTGTTTCCGGTGAGCTTTCGCTCAGTCCTGCCTCACTGACAGATTTCACGCAAAAAACATACTCTTTTCCAGGCTGCAGCCCAGGAACAGTAAATCTAGGAGAAAAAATTAGCGTGTTTATATTTGACTGTTTGAAGTGCAGGCAAACAGTCTTTTGGACAGATAAGCAATACCTTATGAGAATTTATATGCTATTTACATTATTTGCTGTTACAGATTAAAGTGTGTCATATCACAGAAAATGGTCACCAGTAAATCAGTCAGTAGGTGTAAATCAGATACTGAGAGGTGTCACAGTGCTGGTTGGCACTACCAGTAGAATAAATGGGAATTTTTAATGGACTTTTTCTAGTTGACATTTGACCCTACAGCTAGAGAGGTTTTCTAAATCCTATTTTTGAGTGACGCCGATTTACTCTACTGGAAAGCAAACAAAAAAATGGATGTTGTTCTATTAATGCCACAAGGCCTATCTACCTAGTGCAGATGATTGACAGTATATGAAGATATATACAGACTTAGGTATCAGTCTGGCTTTGGGTGTAACAATGAGTCAAGGCATTTGAGTATTTGAGCAATATTTCATTCTAAAAGCAGGACGTGGTATTTGCATGTGTGCATGCCTATGAGTGTGCAGAGAAGGAAGTTCTTTTTTTATCTGAAATATGACTCCAACCATTAGCAGAGGAATCCAAGTTGGCACGCTGTGTTCTGCCAGCAGGGTATAATAGCTGAACTCACTTGTTACATGCCACTGGCTTATTATTGACAGTCTGCCATTCTTCTGTCCCAGTCTCCCGACAATATATGTAGTAGCCAAGAGGCTCGAGACCATCTTTTAACTTATCCCACTGCAAAGCAACAGATGTCTTGGTGTCTCTGAAAGCTAAAACCTGAGATGGAGGCGGTAGAGTAGCTAAAAAAGAAAAAATACAGACAAAATATGATATTTTCCATTTTTAAATTCAAACTAATTGTCATAATTGAGTTGTGTTGTTTGATTTATTCACCTTTTCCAGAGCATCATTTTCAAATTAGATCAAAATACCATGGACATTGTTCCAATCTACAGCCTATGCATATAGTGTTTGGGTTTGTCATACCTCAAGCACCTTTCCCTTACAGCCCATTGATTTCAGCAGAGTTACATCTGCTTATGCTTCTCTAAATCAGAGGAGGAAGGAATAGTTTTAAGTGAGCACTGGGGCAGCTGTAGTGTGGGATAATATGAAAAAAATCTACGGAACTAGCCCTCATCTCTGCATAGTGAAAACATGGGCATGAATCTTTGTATCTCTTACTCTAGTCAGCTCAGCCATGGGAAGAAAACAGAACAAATCAACTCTACAAAAAGATTGCTGTTTTGTCTGAAGCCCCAAGAAATGGGCGCCTTCAGCTGCCATGGGTATATCATTCCTTCCAACACTGTTCTATGTAACCTCTCTCTTACACAGTGCTGGAAACGCATTTGTAGTAAACACAAGCTTCAACCTTTTCTTATTTCATTAAACGTAACTCCCCCGTCATTGCTTGGATAGATTTACACTGCGCACTGACCAACTGCAAAGTAATTAAGCAAGGATTTAAGGCTTTAAGAGATTTCCTGATATCAAAGCAACTGCTGTGTAAGAATATACCATAAAGTTTAAAGAAAAGGGAGGAAAAGCCCATGCGTTCATTTGATAGTGTGTCTCCTTTTCCATATCATTAGTGTAGTGCATATTAATTAAATTATTACCCAATTTTGCTCCAGCAGTTATGGGCTCACTAGGCAGGGATGGCTCACTGATTCCATACTTGTTAACAGATCGCACGCGGAAACAGTATGATTTTCCTTTAACAAGATCAAAGAGTGCAAATCTTGGGGAATTAACTGGCATATCCAGATTAACCATTTGCCAGGAGTTGCTGCCTACAATTGACTGCAAAGAAAAAGGTGATGATTTACAACTCATGAAAGCTTAAAACCCTCCTGAGCAATAACAAAGTTATTATAGGGAAAGTAGCTTTTAAAAAAGAAAAGACTTAAAGGATGTTTTTGTTATTGGTATACTCAGACTTTTCTCTCGTGGCAACAGAGGCTGCCTTTGCAACAGAAATGGTACAACAGGTGGGAAATGAGTATGTATGAAAGGAGGCTGGTAGAAGATACTAATTAACCAACAAAAGGATTAGAGGTGAACAGGAAAGTGAACCACTGTGCAGTGTTTCCCAGCTCTTCCACACTTACTGGCCCATAAGGCAGGAAAAATCTTCCTGTCAGAACTCTGCTACCAGTCTGTAGTGTAAGACTCATTTGTTTATTCTTTGTTAATCACTGCTTACTTAAGTTGGTGTCAGAGTCAGGATTTTAGCTCTAGTAAACTGCGGAGCTGGAGGAAGGCTCAGCAGGCCATTTTTGAGGCTGTACTTCTCCAATCACCCACACAGAGTGAGTAGTGCTGGAGAAGCGGTAGAAATTTCCCCACAAAGTGGCCTCTCAAGGCGTCTCACTCCAAGTAAAGGGACTGAACACATTTTCAAGGGAGAAGGGTGGTTCAGCTTCTTTACCTCTTTTCTTCTGCTTTGTGCCAAAGCTATCAGGGAAAAACATGATTATATTGGCCTTTTTAGGAAAGGAGGAAACCTGTCCCTTAGGAACGGTGACAACTCATTTCCACAGGCTACACTAAACAGCCACCAGCAATTAATTACATTTAGTAAATACTGACCTGTGCTGCAGGTCATCTGAGAAATAAAAGTTCTGTTTCAGGAACAGCAACTATTGCCCTTCTATTTGGTATTATTTCCTTACCTTTTCCACGTAATAATTCAGTGGTTCTCTACCTCTTGGATCTGGCTCGTCCCAAGCCAAGGCCACATAATCTTCTCTGACCTCACTTGCATGAACATTGGTGGGTGGCAAGGGGATTTTAATATGTCCTATGGGAAGTCAGAATATGATATTTCTTTAGTTATAATGTAGCAAAAAATAAGTTATTTTAAAACTTTATTTTCCTACTGTAACAGTATAAAGGAGGAGCCGTAAACCCTTTGGGGACATACAGGCAAACTAAGGTTATTACAAGAGGCTGTGTGCTGTTTAGGATAAATGCGAAGCCTTGTGCACCTTTACAACCATGTTTCACCAAAATAAGGCATTTTTTGTTTTTAAAAGCAACTTAAAAATCTGAACTCCATTGATGTAATGAGACTAAGGGTACTAACTGCCTAGCTCACATTTGAAAATGAGGTTGTAACACTTCTGAAAATGTCATATCTTTTCCTTCCTCTGCTTTTACATAATTACCTTTCTATACCAGGCTTAGTCTAGCAGTATCACTCTACCAGCATTGGCTGGCTCCATTATATCTTGGAATGTCTCTATTTTCTTGAGGTGTACGGCTGTATTTTCCTGAATGTATTTTTTCTGGAATCATGCTGTCACTGATCTCATAGTTCTAGAATAATAATTTCTTTCTGAAAGAAGGGTTCAATATAAATCTGAAATTACCTTCCAAGTCATCCTTGAAAATTTCTATTGTCTTGCCGTCATTGTATGGAATAGCTGTAACGTAAAACAGGACAATGTTATGCCCTAAGAGAAGATGCTTGAGGCATGTAAAAAAAGAGAGAAGCCAGAACTGTGTCATTTCCTACACACATAATTATGTCTGTTTCATTACACATATAATGAAATGTCATAGCTGTGGTATTTTGATCTCCCTTTCAGAATAGGACTAGATGGGTTCAGCAAAAGTACAGTATGGCAATATGTTGCAATGATATTTGTGAGAATAAGGAGAATCTAGACAAACTGTGGTTAGTTATACCTCCAGCTTTATAGTGTACTTAAGGGGGTTATTTTCCTGTTTCTAGTACATACTTGTCACTCTTTTGTTCTTGCTGGGGTCGTATGTTGTAACTGGATCACTGCTTTTAGAAGGAAGGCTGATACCCTCTTTATTGACAGCCTTTACTCGGAACTGGTATGTCTGTCCTTCAACAAGGCCCAAAACAGGGAATCTGCAGGTTTTCACAGGCTTGTTGTTACATGGCACCCAATCCTCTGAACCAGCATCACATCTGAAATGAAATACAGCCCATGCTGTTCCTTCCTGGTTTTTCTGCAACATAGTTATGAGACTTTGTGCTCTAAGATGATTACTATACAGACCTTTCAACATAATATCCCAGGACTGGACTTCCTCCATTATCACTGGGTGCTACCCAAGAAAGAATCAAGCAATCTTTATTTATATCATGGCATTTCACATTGAGGGGGGATCCAGGTGCACCAGCTGTTTCTGCTGCAGCATCTATATAAATACCAAGCCACAGTGGTTAAGATTTTTTCTTCTCTGTACTGAACCTTTCACTCAGACAGTAACTTGATTTTAAGTATGTAAGGGCCTACATCCCAGTAGTACAAGTCACATCTACTAGTACCTGAGTCACAGCTGAAATTAGGATTTGGACATTCTGTTAATCTTGCCCATGCACAAAACTGGGAGACGTTTTCTTGTGAATGAGGTTGTGAACTCCTTTATGTTAAGGGATCAGGAAAGGAGGTTTTGTTCTAAGTCGGATAGAATTCTGTTTATACCTCTAACAAACACGTAAGTAGTCTGTTCTTTGTATCCATCCAGTGTGGGAACATGGATAGTGTAGAATCCCTCATCTTCTTTGTAAGCACATGACACTGTCAGAGAAGCCTCTTGGTCTTGATACTTTAATTTCCGGTATTCAGAATTCTGCAGCAACTCACCTGTGAAGTATGAAAAGGGGTAGAGGAACTCCATCTCAACTGATAGGGTCAGGAGTGGCAGACCAAGATCTGTAAGACACTCCTGATATTATTACTCTGCCTCTGAGTTGTAGTCATGTACTCTAATGCTAGTTTGCTGCTGTGCCACTGTGTTCTATTTGTGCACAAATACAGAGCAAAAAATATGGTCCCTGAAGAGCTTGCAATCCAAACAGAAAAGAGTAGCAAAATACGGCTTGAGACAGATTAGTGAGTAGAAGGTACTCAGCTTCAGGGGAGCTCTTCCCACCGGGTAACTGGATGCTCTGACGTCTGCCATGTATTTTACCATCTCTACCAGAGGATGCAGTACCACTCGGAATGCAAGATCTTTTGCCTGAGTAGCCCTCCAAATTGGAAAGCAGAATGGCACATACTGTGTGTTTTGTATCTATTTAATCAATTCTGGGATAGCTCAGAGAGACAAACTAGCCAAATTCTCTGTAAATCACGAAAATTCAATGGGTCCTGCTATTTTCACAGCTGATTCTGACAGAAGGATTGAAATGGCAAGAACAGACTTACTGTGTCACTTCTGCTTCTCCAAACTTAATAGCACAGAAATATTACCACTTTGGCTAAGATCAAACATCCTTGACTTGCAGCAGAAGAGTTGAGGATATCCAGAAGGTTTTTTCACTAGAGCCCCATTGGCCTTTCAGTGTCAGAACAACAGAGACTTCGAGCTTTCAATGTGTGGAACTAAGACTCTTAAACAATTCTTACAAACTTAAATAAGTCACTACCTCCAAAACTTTTTACTGCTATCATTCTTTTACAAAAGAGGAAAGAATACAAATTAAATAATAACATTTGTAGCTCAAGAAGAGCTGAGAGCAGCTCAAGAATCTGAATTCCACTTCTCTTCTGTAAGCATTAGGTCACAGTTATGAGATCAAACGGTATATTCATGTATGTGTATAAACTTAGCTGTTGCATACAAACCATCTCTGAACCAACTAATGTCTCGTTGGTGTTCAAGTAGATCGAAGAGAAATAACAGGAAAGGGTGAAAGGCTCCTTCTCCCTTGAGAATAAGGATTTCAGTGAAAAGGCAAAATCTGGCTCTCTGGCAATGAGAGACCCTGTGAAATGAGAGCAAAATACAGCATGATAAAGAGAGTTCCCCGAGCTTCTTCCTATTGTTATTATATTATTATATTATTATTGTTCTTTATTTAGAGTGGTACCTGGGCCTTGCACTTTTTGTATGAAGTCAGGCTAACAGGAAAAGCTATAGCTCAGACAAAAAAAATCAGATTGCTTCAGGCTATAGAAATCAAAGAAATAATAACACTCATTTACTCACTTCTGTATATTTCTGAATCAAATCCTGACTCCTTTCCATAATGTTCTATAAGATAAGAAGAAAATACATTTAACAAATCTTGTAACAGTGTTTATCAGCCCCCCAAAACATACAGTGGTGCTCGGCAAAGTATTTTGTTCCCTCAAATGAACACTTAATGTGAACCTTTAAAGCCTCATTGTATGGTAAAATATTAATCCATTTAACAGCTGATTGTCTTCACAAACATCAAGGGTTTATCTACACAGGAAATTACTGATATGACTATAGTGATATATCTGTATTGCTTTAAGTACTGATGTGCACTCAGTTTTTCACAACTAACAATTTTTTTCAGTTTGGCTTACATCATTACAAGCTACACTAGAAGAGGCTATTGTTGTACTGAATAAGAGCAGGGTAGCTACTCAATGCCATATACAGCACAGAAAAGGAAATCAAAAAGTGTCAATGTCATAAACATTACTGAAAGCGGAATATGGCCAAACCCCTGGATGTAAACAGCCTCCCCTTACAGAAGATGGTACGGGATTCTTGAAGGCTACTAGTGACTGGGACTTCAAGATTTAGCCAAAACAAAGGACATCCAGAACTGCCAACTGCTCTGAGATACTGAGGTCATTCCTGAATCTGAGGGAAAAGTGTCTCCTACCAAATAATTTATTACAACAGCCATGGATTCTCTGGTGGCATCACATGTGAATGCTGACTCACTTAACCTTTTCTAGCCTGTGAGAACTGCTAGGATCACAGCACAAAATGAAGTAATTTGGAGCTGGAATCTAAGAACAGTTGCATTTAAACAGGATGAGATTGAAATACTTTCCTTTCTTATCTTTATAAGCCCAAAGAAATGCATATAAAATAATACCTATTTTTTTTTTCAATGAATGAAGTCTGACAATAGCAGAATGCATAAGGAAAATAGGAGGAATGAGTGTTAATGGCTGAAGAGGTAAGTCATGGAAAGCACAAGAGGGAAACCACAGCTTCATCCCAGATCCTGTGAGCCCCACAATGATGTCTTTAGGAAGAATGAGCTTCTGCTGTAGGGGATCGCCAAGCCTGAGACCCTCCCCTGGCATCAAGGGCATTCCAGACAGTGTCAGGCCTGAGAAGAGATGCCATCAGCTTGCCTGGGGGATGAGGAATGTTTCCAGTGGAGGCAGGATTAAGGCTTTGGTATAGTCTCTATTTTCAGAATGTTAAATGCAAATAGCAAAAGGAAGAGTCATGTTACTGGGATGGCATTAGACAGGGTCAAGGGAGAAGGAAAGTGTGGGCCTCTCACCAGCAATCACAAGGAAGATCATTAGCAAGCTGTCTGAAATGGTGGTCAGGCCTGATGAAGTACAGTTTCATCAGGCACTTAGAGGTCAAGAGAGTGGTCCCATCCAAGGTTTTCTGTGATAGACCACAGCATTTCAGACGATGATTATATCATCATACCAGCGCTGATCCTAAAGAGACTGACAGGGAAATGGGGAGAAGGACTGTGCAACTATTGTCATGGATTTTTTCAGATAGCTACTTCTGCTGTATGGCAAAGGCCCAGCTCTTACTGTTCAGAGAAGCACTGTACACCTGGTGACTTTTTTGGGGTTATGGTAAGGGGAACTTAGGGATCTGGGAAGGTTTGCAAGTGCTAATTTTCTGGTCTATTAGTGTGCCTTTAGAACTAGTAAGTGTATACTACATATTTGTAGACATGCTGAATTTTGACAAGGACGTTTGACAATGTCCTTTAAACAAGGACATTTTTTGGTTAAAGGATTTGAAAGATAACATAAGCAATAGACATTTATTAAGATTCTTGAGTCCCGTTCTGGGTGTGTGTGTGCGTGGGTGTTTGCATGGGTGTGGGGGTGTGTGCATGTGGGTGTGAAGGGCATTCAGATGTGATCAAAATATGGCATTCAAAGAGTAAGGTTGATAATAACATAACCCATGACAGAGCTAAGAACTTATTAAAGGACTAACAACAAATATATTGTCTATAACAGAACAAAACCCTCCCATCTGAAAAAAACAATTCAAGCTGGTTTGGTTACCAGTATGGTTTCCAAAGCAAACTTAATCACTTCTTATTCAAAATTTGCAACTCTTACATTTGAATTACTCCCTGGACTCTTGTCAGTCCTACTGACAGCATTTAGTTGTCTGCAGTTCTGTAGGTCTATTCTGCTCTGGCTGTTGATGACAGGCTTTATATATAGGAATAAATGTGTGTGTGTGTGTGTGTGTGTGTGTGTGTGTGTGTGTGTGTGTGTGTGTGTACACACACACGTATGTATGTAGGTATTGGAAATGTCAATAAACAAACTATGATCCCATGAGACTGAATTCAATATTTCTTAAAGCTTGATATAATTTCCCTTTTTAAGTACTGGTAGTTTACTTCCTTCCCTATATGTCTGATTTTGACTTGGGCAGAATGCGTATATACAGAATTCCTGCCAGTTATTTCAAGATCAGTACAGATCCAGAGAAGAAAATCAGGTATCTGCTCTCGGTGGTTACTGATGAAAGAGAAAGATGGTGTTCTACGTAATATTGCACTGAGAGATTCCCTTGGAAGTCACATTACTTGTTAATCAATTTATTGCTTATTGTTAGAAATGCACCAGACTCTTTCTCAACCCATTGTGTATTGAACTATATGGCTGTTTCATATCAGTCCAGAAGAAATCTAAATTTAGTACAACTTCAGCAGAGTGGAAGGACAGCTGTGTCCATAAGGAATCTGAAAAATTTTGCTTGAGTCCAGAAGTGAATGAGAAAGAGAAGTCATTAAATATTAGTTGGTGGTAGCTGGATATTATTTTATGCAGTTGTGCTTTCCCCTCAGTAATAAATAAGAGAGAAATTCTCTCTTCTTATTTACAGGGGGCTTCTTTCTCTGTTTTCCAAAGTTCTTGTATGTTCTTATGATATAATTTACAGCATTGAAAATAGGTTGAAAAATCTAAAGAATTTGAAAATATAATACAGAAGGAACGTTTTATACTTACTCCTGACAAGCACTGTAGCAAATGAGTAAGCCTCACCGTATTGGTTCTTAACTTCAACACTATATTCAGCAGAATCCTCCATGGAGCATCTGGAAAAAATATTTTCCTTCTTTTTTAGGTTTTAGTCTTTGTTCATATTTCAGAGTTAACTTAGGGCAGGATAAATTCAAATGGGATCCCCTTTAATCCCAGAAGTTAGAAGCAGATACTTCCTTTTAATGAAGAAGCTATTTTTCCTTCTGAGTGAAAGGATTTCTTATAATTAGGGGTCACTTTCTTTCTTGATATACAAAAGCGAAACATTTCAATTAATGAGCAAGCAAAAGCTCTGTGGAACACTTGATTTCACTGCAAATAGGCATTTGTACTTATTACATGTATATGACACAGGGTTTTAGTCCTAATATCATTCTGATTACATCGATCCATCCCAACTGGGATGGATCTGGTAGGTCTGCTCATAAAGTGCTCTTAGTGCGTATGACATTGCCATGAATGACAAAACTTTTGCCATGCCTAAAAAAGGAGCAAAGATTAATAAGGCTATCAGATTTTGTACTTAACTCCAATTATTTAGGTTTAAATAAACACAGTATTGTTTAAACCTCATGAACTACTGTTGAGATTGCTTCCTAATAGCAAAGATTTAGCTCAAACGCAGCACACTGAAGTTAAAAAAGATCAGACTCCAGAAGAATTATCTTTTTTGTTTAACATACACAAACTGAGCTTTTCAGGAAAGCAGGCCTTATTCCAGTAAAAAACCAACTAGCTCAGAGACAAGAGCACATACATTACCTACTGATGTGCAGGGTGTGCATACCAAACTTGTTTTTTATCCGGTATTTCCCCGCTGGAGCTAGGCGAGGATCAATACGGACTCCATTTTTATACCTAGTTGAACACAAAGGTGACATACTGCTTAAGAGGGATGAAGAAACTGGTAAAATTAACACCTTAATTTAAAGTTAACAGTGTCAAGCACAACAGGGGCACAGCAGAACAGAGGAGTAGACAACAGTTCCCTCTTTTTCAGCTCTTATCCCACATCAAGCTAGAATAGCCTTGCAGATAACCTTGATCCCATCCCATAGTGCTGCTTGTGCTTCTTCCCCAGTGCAGTCCTGTGCTGCTTGGAGACTGCCTATGACCGCTTAGCATTGGCTTGTTGCTTCCTCCGCAGTTTATGCTCCCTGCTTTGCAGCTTGCGTGAGGGAGTTCGAGCAGATGTCTCTTGCTTCTTTATGTCCACTGGTGAACTGTGGGAGGTTCATACTCTCTTTGTGCTTCGAATAATTCAAAGGGGTTGTTCTGAGAGGACACAGGACATCAGGAGCTCTGACAGTAGAGGAGTTAGCTGCCTACAAAGTCATTATTAATCCAAATGTTTACATACTTCAGACCTTCTATGGGAGGAGGGGTCAGTCACTTTAACAAACTGGTCAAAGTACACTTTGCAAATTGCCTTTGAAGTGATCTTTAATGTATTTCTGTCCCTCCATGGCTGTGGTCAGGCCCGGTATATAGCACTTTCTCTTGTGTATTTGTAAATGAGCAAAGCTGAGTAAATAGAAGAGGTGCTTTGTATTTTACAAATTGTAGGCACTACGGCAATTTAATGCCAAAACTTTTATGGACTCCTGATTGGTAGTCAAGCCTCGATGGTGCATATGTGTGCAGAGATTTAGCGCTGGCAGGAGATTCTGGTTTGCAATTGAATGGAATGTAGCACCAAGGGAAGCAGGGAAATCAATCTTTCTGTACCAAATCGTCACCATAAATGCCAGTCCTATTCCAAAAGGAGCCTCTTACGACAGTCCACTGTCTACAGGGCCCACCGAATACTTAGCTTCTTTACTGCATCTAACAGTGGAACTGAAGAAGTGATCTAGAATTGAAAGTGTTTTCTGTGAATTCTTAAGGTCTCCCATCCTTCTTTCTAACAGGACACAGATGTTTCTCCTCTAGTTGCTTCCTGAAATGTGCACATGCTTTGTTAGCCACACGGGCAGCATCAGTCAACACCGTCAACTGACATACCAAGTAACTTGTGGTGGTGGGGAAGCCAGGACTGTACATGCCAGCTTCACTTCCATCCTCTCCCAGACTGCATGTACTCTGAGTGGGATCCAGAACATAGGTGGTCTCCCTGAACACAGCTCAATGTATTCCTTCTCCATTTGTGCCTTTTTTACAGCCTAGAACAAGGATAGAATAAATAAAGGCAATGGAAAGGGATTATATTCTAACTACACAAATCCATTTACAAAAGGGACATGTGTGTGATCACGCTTTAGTGGCAGCAGTAGAAGGTCTTGTCTTTATTTCTCATGGTTTTAGAGATTGTCCTAAAACCTAATTAGGTTTAGTATCCTCTCCAGAATGCTAGTTAGTGTTAGTAGTTATAATCCTGTGGGTATTTCTGCTATACATAGAAACGTCTGATTTCTTTCTACATCTGACCTTCCTCCGAAGGGCCTTTCGGTCAGCTCTCACACGCAGCAGTCTGCAGTTCCTAATAACTTCCTTTTCCAACTTTTCCATATCATTCCCAAACCGAACTCTCTTTTGTCCCCTCTGCTCTAGCTCTAGGATGTCAGCTTCTCTTTTTAGCTTGTAATCCCTGCAACAGAGAATGTTAAAAAGACAACAAAAGTTAGGATAATGCTTTTGCTTGTTTATTTGTTTTTTGTTTCATAGCACGTACATTTGGTTAAATATAAAAAAGTATTAAGGAAAGAAACATCAACTTGCACGCAGCAGGGAGTACGATGAGAGGTAATCATGCATCCTGGACACCAAGCAGAGCTACCATGAAAGATTCTACTACCATGGCACAAGAAGGAGATCCACTAAACGCACACTTTTAATCCTGGACAGGGAACTGGCAGAAGGATTAAAGGGAGGAGGGGTGGTGCTGACTACCTAAGTTGTTCAGCCATCACAGGAGGATGGTCAGCAGGGTCATTGCCAAGATTTTCTAGGGAAGAGAGGGAGTTCCATCTGTTACCATTAGTTTATTAATCTGGCTCTGTATTTTCCATTTATTTCTATGAAACTTGTTTTCTTCCAAGCCCTTGCTCATGAGCAGGGAGATGTTGCTCATCATCAGAGGTAGCAAGACAATATAATATAGTTTTCTGTATTTTAGTTGAGAACTGGTGTTTTTCTTTTCAAAGGAAGAACCTCTTGCTTGAACCTGGTCTTTTTGCCTCCAACAAAATGAGCTGGAACCTGTAACATTTATATGCAAGGGTGATAGTGTATACCATGTTTGTATTTGAGTTATAATGATTTCTGACTTACTGTGATGTTTCAGAGGTCAAGGCAAGGGCAGCTGCTATGGATAATTCTGACAGGGTGAAAGTCTCTTCTTCCTCACTTCCAGAGGCAGATGCACATAAAAGAATCCAGACAAAGTTGAATAATTTCATAAATTAAAAATTCAGCAAATCTATGAATGTCCAGTACCAAGTGTAATGTTTTAGAAGGTCCTCTCTGGACCTGACTGATCTGGGCCGTCCCTGACTCTGTGGCTTACCTGGTTTTGAACTTTTTCTTTTTAGTTGAAGAGGTCATTTGCAAGCTCTGTTGTCTCTCTTCCTTTTGTTCCTCCTCTCTGTAGTGGAAGAAGGTTCGGGTTCCCATGCTGGGGAGTCAGAACAGAACTTTCTTGCTGTAATAGAATAAAAAATAATATGGCCTTCAAATAAGACTTGCTAACAGGAATTTTTTAAGTTACCATTAAGTCCTCACTTTGCTCTGAATGAAAGCTTATATAATACTACCTTTTGCATTCGGACTATGAAAGAGGTTTATTTTCATGATGCTTCAGTAAAAAATGGAATCAGATGAAGTCTTTAAAGGCAGCTGAAGCCATAACAGAACAATAAGTAGGCTACATTTTGTGAGTAGATTGTTTTCCTGGGACTGATCTTATGCTCAATAAATCCAATGGATGTCTTTCCAGGGAGTTCCATTAGATCAGACCTCCAATATAGCTTGCAGACAAAATGAGGAGCATCATAAAAAAGGAGATCAGAGAGACGTGGAAGATTAGGGACAGAATAAGATATGGAACATCAGGTAATGGTATATGCAGAACAGTTTTAGAAAATAAGATTTTTAGACTGGAAACGGTACAGGCTGCTCCACAATCTTTTAAAAGCCAAATATTCTTTTATTATTATTCTGAAGAGCTCAGTTTTCTTTGTAATAGATTTACTGGCTGTTGCCTTAGAACAGCAGTTGGCTGGGCCTACAGGGGCATGGTAATAAGACAGGATGAACAGAGGGCAAGAGATGAGCAAGGCCAGTTGAGTGGTGTAGAAGTCACTCTGTAGAGTGAAACAGAAGAATCTGTTGGTGTTCCTAACATCACATAAAGCAAAAAGAAATAGCAGTGTTGGGTTCTATTAATTCCCACATTAGGAAGGTTTTAGAAAGGGGATGGCTAGTATTAAAGGTGTGTGGGAAAGAACAGGGTATAAAATAGTAAAAAAGTGTAGAGGAAAGGAAAAGTAAACAAAACCCACCTCTTTTTTCTCTCCTAAAGCAACCCTGAATCAGCATCACTTGTAGTAACCCCAACCCCTCATCAGCCACTCCTCCTAGGTGCAGATTACGTAAGCATTAAGGCAGCTCCAACCTTGCCTTCCTTCTGCTTTGCTCATCAGGAGATGCAGGGGTGGCTGTGATGCCAAATAGCCTGTGCCCCTCCATCCAAATTGTAATTTGCACCATGTTCTGACCTTGCCTGCACATGCCAGGGATTAGATAAGGCAATGCTGGTGAACCAAGTGCACAGGCTGCTAAGCAGAAATCACTTGGTATCTGTAGTGGTTAGAAAATCCAAGCATCTTTTCTGGAACTAGCCAGCTCCAGTTGCTTTTGCAGAAACAGCACTTCCTCAGCCTGTATATCCCATCTGCATACCTAGGTCACTGACAATTACACTTACAGTTCAATACTTCAACAGGATAATGTTTTATCCATCCTTTGAGTACATTCTGAGAGATCAGGTATTTTTCCTTAGATCTTGGAAAATGGCTGATGAATCATAGAGAGATGAATCATAGAGAGAACATAGCCTCCTTCAAAATCCTGCCCTTAAGAAGTTGCTCAGTAAGCTGCAGGATTTTCCCCAGAGTGAACAGAGAAGCCATCCCAGAGAGGTCTCCCCTCCAGGTAAAATATGGGGAGCAAACATTAGAGCCCCTGGCTCCCATCCATCTCCTGCATTAGCTGCTAAAGAATGAGGCTGTTGCTGCAGCCCCTCCTCTGGGAATAAGCAGCGTGCTGCTTCTAGGCACTGACTAATGAGTGAGCATTAAACAAAAGTAAATTTTAAAAGGGTATCACTCGTTATCTCATTCCGTCCTGCAACTGGTTCAGAAACCTATAGCACAGTCCTTAAACTGTACAGATTTTCAAGTTCTAAGAGCTTAGGTTACTTTAAAAAACAGTTGAGGCTCTCTGAAAGTGTAATTGTTGCTGAATAATGTTTGTTCAAACATACTTGTAAATCTCTCCTTAGCTCATGTTCAATGATTGAAATTTTCCTTCGGCAAATTTTTGCCTGAATTTTAGTTTTATTGCTTTTTAATCCCAAAACTATATACAATTCAAAAAAATCAGCTTTTAGTACTAGTATAATTTTCTGTTAATGTAAGTAAACTATTTAAAAATGTCTGTGTAAAGCACAGTTGTTGTGGCAAATGCAAAATATCCCAAAATACAGATGAAAATACAGAATTATCATGGTAATATTTCCTCAGTAGACAGTAACTTTGCAAGAGACTTGTCTAGGTAACAGAGAAACGTTGGCAAATACAAGAAAGAGAAAATACAACAAAACAGATTTTTATGGAAAGAATATCTTTCTAATTTCATAGAACACTACTCTGTTCAGAACTATTTCAGCTGAAAAATGAGTACTGGGCATCATATCTTTGTTTCCATGTTCATGAATAGCTACTGTTCATTTTTACTATAGTTCATTTCTGCTATACACTGTTTTCAATTTTTGCTTGGATAATTTTGAATAAATATTCAGTGCTTTATAATCTAGTGTTTACTGTAAAGATACAGAGTTCTGATCTGCTAAAACTTATTATAGTCTATTGCTTTTCAGTCCAAGTCTAGTTTTTTCTAAATAGATCAATAAAACGGAATAGATTCTTGCAAAAAAACCCCATGAAGTAAAACAAAATATTTTCATAAGGAAAACACTGGAAAGACATTGACGGCTCTTTAAAGCAGGTATAATCATGAAGCATAATCTCTTAAGTGAAATTCAAGAAAGTGATCATATACAATAGCTGATGATAAAAGTCATAAAATCTTGATATAAACAGCAGTTTACTTACAGATAAACAAAACTCACCTGTGAAGATTACAGTGAGAGTGCCTGTCCTCATGAAAGATAAAGGACAAAGGAGCGTTTCTTTTTCCCTGTTGATGACACTAAGAATGACTGTCCCCAAAAGAATGTTCCCCATGTTTGAGTGCCCGTCCTAAAGTCTTAAATATAGCATCCTACCATGTCATCGCAATGACCATGGGGAGACCCATGCAGAGGTTACACTATTTGAGCCATTTACTGTAGTGCTAACTAATCACAAACTCTTTTAGGTCAGGCAAATTAATGCCATTGCCAAATGATATAAGGGAAGACAGGTGCCTCCAAATTTCAGGCATCAGAGCATTGTTTTATCCTCTGCTCATTTAGGATAGAGGCTCACAAAGCATCTAAAATGAATTATGAATGTTTTAATCTCCTCCAGGAATCTCCCTTAGGTTAACATTGCCATTGCTGCATAATGGAGTGAGATTCATTTACTTTGACATCTCTTTAGTGAATGCCAACTCCAGCCAAATTATGTCAGTGTATAATTAGATCAGGAGCTAACAGCAGTTCTGTGTTTTGGTTGGCTGAGACTATTATGCTTTCCCCACTACAGGAAAACGAAGACTGGCTGCCACAGTAGTGGGTGAGCTTACATATCCAGCTGCCCGTAGTGATATCTGAGAGACTGGCACAAGGCAAAAGAACAGAAACTGCTATTTTACCATTTATTTAAAATAGGCTTGCAGTTTCAGCATTCAGGATAAACTCTTCAGAACAATGTGAGGAGTGGGTGATATTTTGTGTGGTGTCAAGGAGAAATGAAGGTTTGAAAGTAGCAGAACTATGAGGCTGCGATACTAATTTGTTAGCCAGATGTTTTCCAGTTGCCTTTTATTAGATGAAAAATCAGTGCATCAATAATGAACTTCTCAGAGCAGATAGAAGTCAGTGAAAGGGAGACATAAGAACATAAAATTCCCATATTGGACCAAGCTAAAGATCTGTTCAGCCCAGTATCCTGACTCTTGACAGTGGCCGGTAGCTCTTCCTGAGACAGACACAATGCTTTATTGTCACTAATAGTCCTAGCCCCGTTAATTTGTCTAATCCCTTTTTGAACCCTTTATGATTCTGGCCTCCACAAGACCTTGTGGAAATAAATTCCAAAGTCAGATTTGGCAAGGTTTGAGTCACCCTGTCCATATCATTGGGATCCATTTCCAAGAATGCTTGTTCACTTCACCTTCCAAATAGAACAAAGCTGAACTACAGCAGGATCAGCACGAGAACTGCAAGGACTTCTTTGTGCAAAGTTTTAGTAGCCGTGTTTTAGACATTCCTAAGAAAGCAATAAGCAGGTATTATTGGGCAGGCATGACTGAGTACATTTTGGTATAAGCTGAGCTGTCAGAGTGAAGGAATACTTTTCTTTCACCAGTTTTGAACCATTGCATGGCCACTTCAAGTACTTTCCTGAATTTTGTATTATGAGAAATAATGAGTAATTATTGTCTATTCTGCTTAATGTTTATAATTTCATTCATCTTTGCCATACCAACCCTCCTGTATCTTTTAAGGAGAAGAGTCCCGACTTATTGTCTCCTCATATGGGAGTCATTTCATACCTTTGACCTCTTTTGTCACCTTTTTCCTATAAAATTATCTCATAATCATGCCTCACTTCTCTCATTATCTTAATTTGAAAAGGAGGAGATGTATGTGAACATTTTAGATGCTCTAAACTATCAACTTTAAGGCCACAGTGTAGCACTGTGATCCAGCTGCTATGTAAGTTCTTTCATGCAGTTCTGCTGCATCGTACCCTCCATCCAATGTGATGGATGGCCAACGTGATGCCAGAACTAAGGTAGGAAGGGGTGCCATCGATAGCTAGATAGATATCAGGGTCCCATATACTTTCAGAGCTGCCCCTTGGCTCTACTTCATTCTGTCTCCAGAATTTGGAGCCTTCCATTTGTTCCTTGAGTGACATTTTCTTCAAAGGACATGTGAAAAAATCATCAATTGCTTTTGATACTCTTCAAACACCTTTCAATGCTAAAACAAATAACAAGCAAATAACAAGGGAGAATGTGAGCCTCAGTGTGAGGTGGTATGTTCATCCCTGTGTAAAGATCCCTGGTGAGCTATGAGCAGGGCTGCCAACACAGGGAGCGGCTAAGTGACAGCTCCCCAAATTTAGCTGAGAAGACAAAGACAGTAATGCTTCCCTATAGGGTTACAGCTGCCACCTGCTATGCTGATATCCTTGTGACAACTGGAACTGCAATGCTCACCT